CCCGATTTCACTGAGGATCCAGGAAAGTGGCAGCATCTGAGGCTCCTGCAGAGTGACTACGCTTACTGCTTGGACTCACTAGAGGTCAGTTCCAACAGAGGGAACTGATTCATTGTTCATCTGTTCGAAGCTTATGAGAGCATCTGCCGAGGTGGCTAATCTGGTTGTGTGCTTCCACTGACACTGGTTATGGGTTTATTTTATAGTTGGTTGTCCAGATGTGTAAACTGATATTACAACCACAAGGCTCCCATGTTACAGTCTGATACTCACTAAAAGCTGCAATTTATCGCCTTCCTGCTCATTACATAAGACAATATGATTTGCTGAAAGACAGGCAACCTGCTGTGTGGCTTCTTTAACCCCTTTTTTTTTCCTTTAACTACATAAAAATAAATAGGGCAGCTTGGGCCTACACTTTATAACAAAGGAAACAAAAAATCAGAGAGGAGTGCCTAACTCATTCAAGTTTGTGATCCTGTTTTTCACCTTTAGGAAGTACTTTGTTCAGTTAATGTTTCTAATCAAAAGAAAACAAACTCTTCCCTCTGTTCTCTCCCAGTCCCAAATACCTGTTGTTATCTCTAGTGGTGCCTCCAGCAAAGTATCTGTGTGCTCTCAGTGAAGGGGGAGTTCAGGAATTCACACTATAATCTCTGTAAGGAAACCTCAGGTTACAGCAATGATCTGCTTTTCTGGGTTAGTTACAATTAAGTCAACCTCAAAACACAAGGGGAACCACATAAATCCTTTAGGGCAAGGAGTTTTACTCTGTTTTACATCATCCTGGTGCAGGACTATTGCTTGTAGATGCTTTCTACAGAGCATAAAATAACAATTAGAGAAAATCAAGAAGTAGTCCTGTGAAAATCTTGAGCAAAGGGTTGAATTTATTTCTCCTAAAGATTTCCTCAAGATGAAGTAGTCCTCCAACTGGACTCACCTCTTGTAAAATATGGGAACAGACAGTGATTATTGCAAAGTTGAAGCACATGCTGCTAACTGAGATTCAAGGAAGGAATAAACAATGACTTAATGCCATTCCTGTTTCACAGAGAGCCATAAATATGGGGAGACAGTTGCTGAGTAAGGCACTACTGCAGCAAGTGGTAGAAATTAATCAAGAGGTAATGCCACTTTTATAGGGCAAAAAGGATTTGGTAACAGACTGATTGAGCAAAGAAGTGGGGCTGAGATCAATTAAAAGGGAACAGACAACTTAGACTAAAGTGGCCACTCAGTGCAACCAAATCCTACCAGTGAAAATTTATAAGTCATCTTTTATGGAAGGGGTGAACAGCGGGAAGAATCTTATGCAGTCTGTGACTTCACAAACCTATGGTGAACTAACTACCAAAGAGGGATGCCAGTAGGAACGTGTTTTGGAGACACCTGAAAGAGAGAAACACCAAGCAGAAAGCATTGCAGCCCAAGTTAACAGCATGGCCAGTATGCAGCAATGAAGTGGGTAGAAAAGGTGCCTTCAAAGACTATATGTGGATCTCCTCTTTTCTGAATCTGACCACCAGGGGTAGGTGAAAAATCTCTGTTTTCTCATCTGAATTGGGATGAAAAGTAAACATCAGAAAAAGCTGAAGATACTAGCAAACTTCACTGTGTAGACCAGACGAAACACTGGGTTTTAAATTGTGATTAATTTCGATCTTTGTCTTTTTGCTTTGCAAACTTTTTCAGTATGAAGTAACTAAAATTGAGAAAATAACTTGCAATTTTTTCCAAATAGAAAGTCACAAAACTGACTATGTTAAGCATTTTCAAAATTGGCCTAAAAGCACTTTAAATTGACAGTTTTCATGTTTAAAAAAATACTTTTGTAATGCAAGATATCATTTAGGGCAACTTTTCATTTTCTGACCACAGCCCAGGAATGCTTCACTGCAGAATTTCCCAGCTCCCACTCCTGACTGTTGTATTGCAACAAATCGTGTGGGCAGCCCAGGGTTCAACAGCCCACAGTACTCTCACTCAATACCCATCTGACCTGGCCGTGTCCTCCGCAGTACAGGCCAGCCGGGTATCTCTTCATACCAGGGCTATTTTTAGTGGGTAGTGCTGCCAAGGCAGTATGAAAGGGGCTTCATCAGAAGGGAGCACCAGGCCTGTTTTTTCTTGTCACACGCATGTATAAATTTTTCCATTAAAAAAAAAAATAGACATTTCCACCAGAAAAACATAAAGGCACAACTACTGTTTTATTCCTGTTTTGGTCACCAGTACCTGTGCTAATTAAATTGTAATATTTCATTTGCTTCACTGGTAGTATTTCCCTCTTTCGTTTCCCAGGATTTAGTGAGTTCATGAAGTACAGGACAGGCAGCAAAGAATCAAGCTCTGTGTTCACACAGCCTGTCAGATTCTCCTTGTCCTTCCACTCACTGGTGAAGGTGTATACCAAAGCCAACCAGAGCTGGCTGCATCAGTGATATGCAATCTCATAGCCCAGCCAAGTACAAATAACCTATTTGTGTTGCTCTTGGGAGGTTTCTGAGGATTATTCTCTGTATCCTGAAAAGAAGTGAAACCTAATGTTCTGGGAAAGTCTGGTGTGGGAGAAGGAGGTCTCTGTCAGGTGGAGGTGGCTGCAGCCAGGCCCTGAGGGCACTGGAGAAATCTGTGAAAGACAGCTTCCCTTCCTATATCCTGCCAAGGAGAAGGACCTTCTGAGGAGAGTGACATTCCATCAGCACTTGAGTGCCGCCAGTTTTCATTTCACTACATTATTTCCACCTGTTTTAAAAGTGGAACCTCTCATCCAACAGAAATTTATCTTGTCTCAAGTGCAAACATGATAATCGGAGGGGGAGCCCTGCCATGGTAGAGCATAACACTGCAAAGCACCGAGTGTCTGTGTGATGCTTGCTTTTCCCTGAAGGCACCCTCCAAGCTTGGGAAGGAGGAAAGAAAGGGACCATAGAAACAGGAGAGCAATAGTGTATAAGATCTTCAGGTTTCCCAACAGTGCTTGGGATATAGACTGAGTCACTCCTGAGCTAGCAAGGTGCAGTGCTGCCAGCAGGAATGCTGTGTGGGGAACAGATGGACCCTGATCACACCAGCAGGCTCTGTAGCATCATTTGCACCATTCGAGATCTGTGCCTTCCCCTCCCAGGGGACCCCATGGATTTGCACACATAAGATAAAGGAGACTTATGTATCTTTGTGTCTCAGAAGTGGGGATTTTGTTGTGAGGGAGTCACAAGAGCACAAACATAACCTGGTAATAACATAATCACAGGACTGGGAGATAAAAGGTTACCTCACAGCAGCAGCATCAATACAACTGCATGTACATAATTCCTGACAGGCACTCACTCTTGCTTGTAGTTAGAAATCACAGTTTTTGAAGTCTGAAGTTTTCCCAGATGACCTGTGCCATATCTTCACTCTTCCTTTCTATCAGAAAGCCTGTAACCCATGTCTAACTTGATTTTTAATTTGCTACAATTTAAGCTTGTTACTGGTCACATCTACTAAGGAAATCTGGACAGGGTAGTTCTCTATTATTCTCTTTTATCGCCTTCTTTCTGTTTCTGAAGAGAGTTACTGTACTTATCTTCAGTTTCTTCTTCTTCAGACTGAATGCTACTTTATTCAATCTTGCATCATAAATCATGTTTTCACAAAGGGGCCTATATTTTTTACTTCTTTTTTCTATTTCTCTCTCAACTCTTTTCCTTATCTTCTGTCTACCTGATACTTTATCTTTACCATAATTTATTTAATTTACCTTAATTATTTTCTCTATCAATTTTATGACTTTGTAAAAGGACTAGTTCTGGAGTTCATGTTTCTTCTTATTCTGTTTTGCCTTGCTACTTTTGCAAAGGATGATCTTAAAGTACTGAAACATTCTCTGCCTGGGTAGAGGAGAAGTGTGAACTGAGTACAGCTTTACCAGTCAGGAGCTCCTAAGCTGTAGCTCTGACTTAACACCAGTTTGTCCAGCCCCAGGAAAGGCAGCTGACATTGCTCTTGCTACGAGCTTCTTAAGGACTTGCATGATTTTTAAAAATATGGTAGTTTATTGCAATAAATATAAAATAGACCTAGCACTAGTCTGAAAATTTGAGCTAATTTTTAGCAGGTCAAGGTCTCCTAAGCAGCTCCCATTTTTCTGATCACAGGCAGTCTTTAACATTACTTTAAAGAACCACTCCAGAAACAGAAAGTCTATATATAATTAGTTCTCACAGGCTTCACGGCTGTCATAAGGCTGAGGGATATAAAGATGAAACAGATTAAGTGTTGTTATGTGTCTCACATCCAAAAATCTGTATTGTCAGTCTTAACATTGAAGAGTCCTTCTGAGCCAAGGGCTGTCATAGGCTGCTGGGTTTTCTGTTTGTGGGGTTTTTAATTCCTCATGCAGCTCGTAGGTACATTGTCCAGTACTGGGTCTAAGCACATGCAGTGTCTTCTGAACCTGTGTGTCAGATTCTCCACCGCCAGCTATGCACATTTAAACGGCAAAGTTAATGACTCTAAGTTAATCTAGGGATCTTTATTTACGTAATTCATTGCAAGATTATGATTTAATACAAAAATTTTCCTTTTGTTCATTAAAAAAATACTGTGGAAGACAACTCTGGATCTGGATATTGTTCTGTTCAGTGCAAAGGACAGATTGTTGACATTCCTGGGTAATTCTGCTCTCTGGCAAAGGAGTGCTTCTTATCAAGTGCTCTGATGTACAAGTGCCTGAGGGCTTGTTCACATGGGAAAATCCAGTGGCATTATTCATACCTCTGCACTGCAGAATATGAGTACCCACATGGGAACTCAGCAAGGGTATAATTATTTTGCTCTAGAAAAGCCCAAAGTATCTTTATATAATTTCTCCCCAGAAAGTTATCTATCACACAGGTAATGCAATGCCCCCAAGAAAATGCATTTGAGGACATCAGACAAGACTGCTTTGTACAAAAGCAACTCTTTGCTCATGTGAAAACACATTTCCCTATTTGCGATCCTTTTTTTTTATCACACAGAGCACTCTGTCCCTACTTTAAAAAAACCTCATTCTACAGAAAAATTTAAACAAGCACCATGCATGTACTTATCCTCACCCACCCACTCTTTTAGTTATTGATAGTAGTTTTGCTGCACTTACTTACACTTTTCTTCTGTAAATGCATCCTCACTCTGAGCACCACTCTCAGACAGATGCAGTGTCTACAGCTCTTGGTAAGTGAACGGTGTACTGAATTCTGATGGAGAGGTATAGTGCTAGCTCAGGAAAATAAGCAAGAACAGAATCCAGGTAATGTAAAACAATTTCACACTTGATAGGATATTAACAGCATGTGCTGCACCTGCAGCCATGGATTCCATTTGCATAGCAGAAAAGCAATCTCTGTGCTGTAAATGTACAATGGGTAGGAAGGATGGCAGAGAGACTGGCGTGTAGCCTTTGCAGTCCTGCCTTTTGTGTCTACTCTGCCCTTTGCAGTTCTTGTTGAGTGACCTGAAGCAGGTGGTATAACTCAGAGAGAGATTTCAGAGTCCTCTGGTGCCCGGCGATGTCCATGTGCCCTGGTTGAGCACACTCCTGCACAGCTTTCTGCAGCTGCAGCTGCAGGGGGAGGGAAACCAAGGGTCCTCTGAGATTTGGGGAGAACCAGTGACGGAATATTTTGTCACAGATTACCTGAGAAAAGGAAAAAGAGCAGATTGTTGTAGCTACAACTAATGCCCTGCTGTTGCCTTGGGACTGTAACAAAATGTCATCCGAATCTGAAATGCCTCTAGTCATTCAAAGAGGAAGGTATAGAAAAGGAGCATCCACACAGGGTACACTCTATCTGAGAAATGCCCCTCCTTCTCAGATTGCTCCTGTACTTCACAAATCTTATGAGTGGCTGAGGAAGCTGGGGTTGTTTAGCCTAGAGAAAAGGATGCTGAGAGAGGACCTTATCTATCTCAACAACTACCTCAAAGGAGGCTGTAGTGAGGTGTGGGTTGGTCTCTACTCACAAGTGACAAGCACTATGACAAGGGGAAACGGCCTCAAGTTGTGCCAGGGGAAGTTTAGTTGGGATATTAGGAAAAATTTCTTTACCGAAATGGTTGCCAAACATTGGAACAGGCTGCCCAGAGAATTGTCTCCATCCCAGGAGGTATTTAAAAGATGTATAGATGTGGCTCTTAGGGACATGATTTAGTGGCGGACTTGGCAGCGCTGGGTTAACGGTTAGATTCAATGATCTTAAAGGTCTTTTCCAACTTAAACAATTTTATGATTCTGCATAACAAGTGGTGAGGGTGAAGGGGTGGGAGAAGGAGGCAAAAGGCCAACAAGCTACACTCCCCAAGCCCCTCTGTTGTGTTAGTGCCTCCCAGCAACACAAGCTGGGTGAGCTGTAAGACACTTTATCCCAGGGTCAAGAAGCCCATGGACAACCTCTTTCCACTATATTCACCTACTACATCTGGAGATTTGGACAGCCCTGACTTTCACAGAATCATAGAATCACTAAGGTTGGAAAAGACCTCTAAGACCATCGAGTCCAGCTGTCAGTGCAGTACTGCCAAGTCTACCACTAAACCATGTCCCTAAATGCCATATCTACAAGATTTTTGAACACTTCCAGAGATGGTGATTCCACCACTTCTCCGGACAGCTGGTGCAATGCCTGGCCACCCTTTCAGTAAAGGAATTTTTCCTAGCATCCAAACTAAACCTCCCCTGGTGCAACTTCTTGTCATTTCATTTTGTCCTATTGCATATTACCCCGGAGAAGAGGCTGACCCCCAACTCACTATGACCTCCTTTCAGGTAGTTGTAAAGAGCAATAAGATGTCCTTGAGTCTTCTTTTCTCCAGGCTAAACAACCCCAGCTCCCTCAGCCGCTCCTCATAACACTTGTTCTCCAGACCCTTCACAGGCTCTGTTGCCCTTCTCTGGACTTGCTCCAGCACCTTAGTGTCTTTCTTGAACTGAGGAGCCCAGAACTGAACAGAGTATTTGAGGTGCAACTCAAGGATGTGTCTTTACTATCAGTGGAGATGGTAATGCTAATCCCCTGCCCCTACTTTGCTCTCCTGTCTGAGGCATTGTGCTAACAGCTACATGAAAACATGGCAGATAAGCACTAGTGAATATAAAGATCTGTCTGCATGCCCCAAGATGAGATTTCGGAACAGGACTGATATTTATGTGGACGCATTTAAAAACCTGACTGTCTTCATCTCACAGTCTCCTAGTACATACCACGCATTTCATTGCCAATGTGATTTTAAAAGAAAGGGATGCATAAAACAGCTGTGTCTACTCACTTGCAAGTTGTTATTGGCTCTCTGTGCTCCACATTTTCTTATTTTCAGATTACATTTTGAAAAGCAATCAAAAAAATTACAATCTTCGTCTCCTGTGCAATTCTGTTCGAGGATGTCCCTCATTTTAGGTTCAAAAAAGGCCATATCCACATCAATGGCAACCACCTGTGGATCAAAACAACCCATGAGATCCGGCGCAGCACAGACTGTAGAATAGGGCTGAGCAGGCATTCTTTGCTCCTTGCTTCTGGAAATGTTGTGTAAGAGCATCTGCCAGTGAGGAACTGGGATCAAAATGAAAGGGCCTTATTTCACTTAACTGAGCCGCACTAGCCTTATAAATACCACTTTTTAAACAAAAACAGCCAATGTTTATGACACCAGGAATGGGAAAATTATTTGTGGGCAATATGCCTCCCTGGGATCAATTGGATTGATTTGCTTTAAACTGGAACTATTCATCCCGAAAACTGATTTACTTGCTGGTGCAGCATATGCAGATGGCACCTCAAGCTTTTAATTACATGATGGTGCACAGTTATCCATAGGGTAGACGGTATCACTTCACAACTCAGCATTCAGACTAAACCCCTGACTCTGCCTTTGTGGAAGGGAGCAGTGGCATGCCCAGGGTTAGCTGCACCTGGTACTGCTCCAGCAAACCTGCCTCTGTATTCAGTGGTTTTGAGTCTGTTCAGCTGCAGAAAGAGATCCCTGACTTGGCTGAAAGCTGGTTCTGGCTTTGCCCAGTCCTGTTTGCTATGGTTTGACACACTTATTGCGCACAGTTCTTGTTCTGCTCTCCCATAGCAGAGTCCAGCCAGAAGCTGGTCACAGCAGAAAAAATGTGACTGAAGGGATCAATCACTTTTCTCACCCTGACACAAGGCTCACAAAAGCAGTGAATACATAGCACAAAGTGGTTTGCAGAACTGCTGCCTGTGTTGGGGGTGAGATCGCTCTGGGAGCAAAGGGCTGTAGTCTCAGTTTCCACCAGTGTCACTCCATCCATGAATGCTCCACTTAAAAAAATCCCAGCAATGAAGGAAAGGAATCCAGTAAGGGGATGGCAGCTGCTTGATGTGAGACAAAGTGTAGGTGACCACCGGGAAAGTAGCCTTCTTCCAGAGTCATCATGAATGTGCAATCAGCAAATGTTCACAGCTGCTTTTCACACTTAAATTGGGGATGCTCCCTTGCAGCATCTGACACACATTTTCATTGAGGAAAATATCTGGGACCTGGGCAAAGCAGAGTTACTTGGGCTCAAATGGTTGTCTCATTTTTAAGACTCAATCACCCAAATAACGGGGGAAACTGAACTGTGTGACTGGAACAGCAACTGGATCAACACCAGGAACTAAAGATGTCTGGTTTGGTAGAAGCCCAAATAAACCTTCCACAGGCAGAAAAAGAACATGGTGTAATCTTCATTTTATTCTAGTCCTTTTTCCCTAGTGAAAAATCTTGAAGAAATGAGGCATAGCCTAAAAACTCAACTATTTTTAGGCTTTTTGGAGCTTTATGATGATGACATATCCTAAGGAATTTCACACGTTTGAACAGGCAAATCTTTTTTTCTTTTCTTCTTTACTTCCTTAAGCTTTCTGCTGTTTTGCTGTTCAGTTCTTTGGAGAAGAGACCATGAAAGCAGTTCAGGGTTTCCCCAGTCATAGGGTTGCTGTGTCAGCTCCCAGGTGGGGTCTTTGCCAGCACTGAGTACATTTGACAGTTTGATCCATTGCTCTGCTAGGAAAACCAGCCCTGGTTCCCAAACACACAGCTGCCAAAGGGTTCAGCGGCTTCACTGAAGTTCATCTGTTACAAAAATGTAACGTGGGCCTCCAGCCAATCCCCGTGAAAACAGATCTGGGTGACACTACCTATGATCGGCTACATTTTGGTGGGGTTTGTTATGATCGTAATTGATGAAGGTACCTCGGGAATTGTAGCAAGGACCCAGCTTGGCTCCTGACCTGATTTAAAGTGATGTTTAAGGTGCTGTAATCTTTCCAGTTCTTTTTGAGGTGGGCGTAAAAGAGGAAGCTCTCCCAGAGCACCCAAAACCTCCTTCCAACTCTGCACCTTATGGTAGCTCCATGGCAGCTTAAAATTCTCCTGGATGATCTACCAAGCAGTGATCTCTCCTCTCCTTAGCTGCAGGAGAGCAAGCGAGGGCTGGAGTGAGAGCTGGAGCCTTATCCCCATCACTTGAAAATAATCCTCAAAATGAAACTGTTGCACTCCAGGTACATTTCTTTGGACTTTAGGGGTCTCATTACTCCAGTAAGGAATAGCAGTACTATTACGGGTTTTATTACTTTCCTATACAGAGCACAGGAAACCAGCAAGTGAAAAAAATCTCTTAAACGTAAGGGACAAAAAAGAGGCTGTCTTACTGTGTTCCCATTCTACAACTGGTTGGTAAAACTACGTAGAATTTCTGCTTCTCACTCTGCTTCCTCCACCACTGATCAGAAACTCTCTGTCCTGTCCCCCATCCTCTGTCCTTCTCCCCACCCTCAGCTGTCTGACTGTATCTCCTGTCTCTCAGCCTGTTGGCACGATACCACCAAGCTATAAGTAATGTACAACTGGGAGAGCCGTGTGTGAGCAGCAATTCACTTTTTCTTAACTAATTCTCCTAGGAAATATTAAATTATCATATTTACCTACACCAGAAAATGTCTGTTGTCTCTTTGGACCCCAGAAGTCACTGGAAGATCCTGGCAAAGCAAGACTCACCAAAAGGACTTGTGAGGGAAGACATATCCAGTTTTCTTCCTCTTTTCCTAAATGAAATCTCTTTTCCTGTAAGTAGGTTGTAAAGCAGATGCTCTGGTGTGTGCTCATCCACAGGCAGCTGTAGCCCTGTGCAACTGAGAAAGCTGGGCAAAGCCTGCCTGGAGGAACTCTTGCTGTACCTCACTCTACCTAAATACTGGTATAGCCTATTTTAGTTTCTTGCTATAGCTCCTCACTCGTTCCCTATTCAGCTGCTGTATTGCACCTGAATAAACAATGGGAGGGGAAAGAAGGGTGAAGGGAAAGCACTCTAACTGCTCCTAATGACTCTATGTTTAGGCAATGTTTATCTAGTACTCTGAAGATATAAGTGTTATATTAACTCTCAGTGAGTACTAAAAATAGTATTAAAGTCACCAAAAATGCTTTATATTCACTAAGAGTGCAGAAAGTCCACTGATGTCATCGCAAATTGGGAGCCTAGTTCAAACACACAGTGTACAGTGCCTCCAGTCTGTAGACACAATTCCAACTGAAATCAGAGGAATTTCTGTCCACAGAAGAATGCGAGATACATGCAGCAATGTGGTGCTGAGCTACGTCACTATTTCAAAAACATGCATAGCTACTCAGGTCTGAGTTACAGCTGTGCAAGGAAAAGTCAAAGAGTAACAGGGACTTTCCTGTCACTGTCCTTGGAGAGTTTCCAGACCAGATAAGCTGAACATTGAAACACAAATGTGCGTGCTTGGATGTGGGAAGTTCCCCTTGTGTCAGACCAGAGAATTCAACCTTAGTTTTCAAATTCAGTTTTTTCCTTTCAGCATCACTACCAAAAATAGTTGCCATTACTCAAATTACAGCTTCATTTACAGATTTTGAGATCCCCTTGCCTTCAGGAGGCATCCCTCACCACATCCAAGGGACCCTGTCAGTATCAGTGCCTTTGAGGAGGTGAAACAAAACAGGAGTAAGTAGTTCTCAAATCAAGCAGCAGGATTTAGTGCTCTGAAACGCGGCTGTACACATTGCAAAGCAGAAAAGCAGTAGAGGATCTCCCCTGTTGCTTGTAAATGCATTGGTTTTGCAAAACCTTGGCCAAAAGCTGTACGAGGAGGGAAGTGTCATTTTTACACAGCCACCTTCAGACTAGAATTTGACTTCAAATTGCTGCAACACCATCCCAAAGATGTAACTTACCGTAAGATCATGCCTGATAGCGAAGTTTTCTGGTTTGATGTCACACAGGTGGAGTCGGTGAGAGAAATCATTATCAAAATGCTGCACCATGTCCAGAAAGCTGAGTGCAATGTCAGTGATGGCTCTCACCCTGCTTTTGTGTCCGGTAAGGGAGGGACCGATTACGTTTTCCAAGGGAAAAAGAGTTTTGTGCCAGGCATGTCCAGCTGTGAGATACTCCACAGCATAAAAGTGTCCACAAGAACCAATAATTCGTAGCACATGTTTGCTGAGGTCCTGCAGCAAACTGAAGTAGATATATTCTTCCTGCTGGAGCAAGGACCACATGCTGGCCACCTGTGCTTTCCAACGTGGTCCCTTTTTCCTTGTCCACAGGGGCCCCATGGTACTATTAGACAGTTCTAGCCCCAAGGCATTTTTGACCTCCAAAGCTACCATCAGCAGAAGCTCTGTTTCAGGTATATCCTGTGTTTCCACCTCCTCCAGCATACTGAGGTGCTGGTAGCTGGAAAAGACTTCTTTTTTGGATTTCAATATGATGGGCTGGCCTCTCCAATCGGCATGAATGACCTTCTTACCTCTGTCATAGTACAGGCAGTGTTTGTACACCAGCTTCTGTGCCACGCACAGGTCTTCACAGAGGTCACCAGTCAGGGCTCCGCTGCTGTAGTCAAGACACTGGAGTGAAAGAGCAGAATATTCATAGCAGAACCATATGCCCATGGACCACGTAGAAGAAAGACAAATAATGAGCAACAGTCCTAAGCTCAAGAGGTTTGCAGCAGTCATGGAACTGCAAACAGACACCTTCTACAACCGTTGGGTCATTCAATGGTCTTTCAGAAGTCTCTAGAGACCTTTTTCTAGGGGAGTCTTGCTTCAAAACAGGGATTCTTGGGATGGTAAAGGACAGGATATTCAGGGGTGAGGAAATGGACTAAATTACCTGTTACTCTGAAGTGTTTTACACAGCGAGACAAACTTTAAACACACGTGGCTGTGCTATATGAGATGATGGGCTGTAACACTTTAAGGAACAGGAGATAACTTCCATAGTAATGCAAGACTTCTCTGGAAGGTTCAGGGGAGCATAACTTACACACCTCCACTTAAACTACAGGAAAATCCATGGCTAGCTGGATTTCTGGGATCTTCCACAGTCCTGCACGTTTCAGCCTTGCACTCAACATGCCCTGAATGAAGCTGTCATAGCCTCCTCCTGCACTACCAGGAAACACAGAGGTTGTGCTCAATGCCTTTTGGACCAAGAACTTTCAGAATCTTAAAATATATAATATATTTTATTATTAAAACAATAATCTGCAGAACAAACTGACTTTTCAGGTTTTATATGTAATTATCAGAAGTGAAATTTTAATATTAATTGCTTGAATACTTATTTTTTTTTTGTAATTGTGAAGAAATAACCCCGTGGAAGCAAGGAAACTGCTGCTTGATAGTTAAGTGGTCGTTGCAAATTCATGCAAGAACTGCAAGGATTCCCTCACCAGTCCTTCCCTCAACCCATAATTGTTTCCATGATATCATTTCCCAAAGTCGATACATTCCTACGGACATTCAGAAGTGCAGCTGTAGGGACTGCTTTGGGTGAATCAGTAGAGGGGATGATCAGAGGTCTCTGGTGAAAGGGGAAGAGATGAGGTGGTGTAGAAAGCCAAACATCTGGGAGGCAGCTTGACAGTGTCAGCTGCCTTCACTGCTTTCTGGCATTTGAACCTTCATTTAAACAAGTTGGCAGGACCCCCTGCATGTGGAGAACTTGCAATGGCTGCGGGAGCCCCACCTCACTTGTGACTTGCTGTTACATACACAAAGAACATGATCATAACATTCAAGTAAATTATTTTCTTAGGACAGTCTATGAGGTGTGTACACCAGAGGAATATGTTCTGATGCCAAGCAACATTTGGAGTTCAACCTTAAACAACACACAGGGGAATGGGTGGAGGATTAAGTCCAAAATCCAAGAATGGTGATAAATTGACTGCAACAGCTCACTGAGGGCAGTTCAGACAGGCATAAAATTTATTTATATTTTGATGTTCTCACAGGCCAAATGAGAACAGTCATTGCCAGCAAGGAGAGCCAGGTAGGCAAACTCTTGCATGAATGTTCTGACCCTGAGTCCACACATGTGAATCACACACGCATCTGCATCGACATCAACATCAGGATGACCAAGCAGATTCACTGGGCTGTCTGCAGACTTCAGAACATGCAGATCAATGCTCCTGCTTTTGAAAATCTACTCCTATGAATTTAATACAATTTTACTCTACCTTTTTAAATAGGAAACATAGTTTTCTTAGCAAAAGTAGTTTAGCAGTTCTTACCATCTGGAACTCTAAGCAATTTCAGAAAGAGAATTACAAACAGAAGGAATTTTTGGGGTTTTCTTTGGATTGTAAGTATAAGCACGTTTAAAACTCTGTTGAGAGACCACAACCTAACTCTCTTCTGCTAGAGTAAGAGAATTTAGGACTTAGTCATGTAATTGGGTTCACATGGGTGAACACATGCCCCCATGGACAGTTTTACTGTGGTGCATCAAGTTCACTCTTAGAGGGTCCACATGCATAGACCTCTTACATCTAGAACACATGTCCATCACCTGTAGTCAAACACATAAATGTGTAGCTTATTTTCTTGCATTGACATCATGTCACTCTTAATTGCATTAATGAGAAAAAGTAGTTGTGGAAAAAGCAGTCTCACATTTCACAGACATAGGAGACAAGTCCTTTTTGAACCTGGTTGCTGTTTAGGACTTGTCTGCTGTTTTTTCAGTTTAACCTATAAATCTTTTATTGTTAACCTAGTATCTGACAAAGAGTGTCTAAATCATAGTATTCTTTACAGTGACCTTGTGCAGTGTTTTGCAAACTGGGATATGTGGAAGAAAACTTGATCAAGGAGTTCATGGTCTCACAGTGATAAAACACAGAGTGGCCTTCCAGATGTCACATTCCCTGCTGGTCACCAAAGCAAGCAAGGATTTCAAAAAGGCTCCCTCAAGTAAGCAATCAAGAAGTTTGAACTATTTTCTATCATCAGCCTTTTAGGTATAGTCTGGTAGTTCATCTTGAAGCAATTATTTGACCCTTACATCCTTTCCAAAGACATACAGTTTTACAAGACAATCTTCCATCATATCGGCATAGCTTGCACTATTGTGTTTCCCAGTGTATTAGCTTGCATTTTACAGTATTAAAACACATTCTGGTGGACTGAAAACATTTAACCAGGTGATACAGATTTATTATTTACTAACCCAGGAACCTTTGCACTAACTGCAAACTTCACTATACAAGATTGTAATTCATCATGGTGATTGTTGATAAAAAGAAGAGTCAAGTCCCCAGGGAAATCTTTCAGAAATGGTCCTCCATGCTGCCACCCCTGTCTTAATGACTGCATTTTGAGACCTGTCAATGAGACAGTTTTAAATCTACCTAATGATTGCCCTTTGAAAGCCACTAAGTGCCAGATTTTTAAACTAAAATATGAAAGTGACATCAAGCCAAAATCCTTATAGAGAAGCAGCTGTACTACAGAAAAATGCAAACACAAGCATGGTTTGGATTTGCTTGTATGTTTTTGATTAAAATTGGATACATAATTTTTAATGCCCTTAGTGCACTTATCAAGATAAGTTCAGAAAAGCTGGGTTTAAATTACCGTAAAAGCTTAAATTAGTGTAAACCCTACTAAGGATTTATATAAATTTAAATAACTCACTGTACCACCATCAGTGGCCTGAGACTGATGTTCTGCCTTGTTAGCTAGTACTTCTCCTGTGTAAATGCAATACTGAGCCAGGTTTGGAAGGCATCAAAATTAATTGATTTCTCCAGAGGAAACAGAAATTGATTGCTATGATTTAGTGTGTTCAGTGTAAATGAAGATGAGATTGGCATTAGGAAAGAGTGCTTTTTTTTTTTTGAGAGTTCAAATTGGTCCCTGCAAAACGCCCTGTGCCACTTCTGCCTTGTCAGTGCAGTACACATCTGCGACATCTGCACAGATGTGCATCTTACTCAGAATAAGGGAATAAACCCTTTGGAAATGCCACTTGCTAGGGCATTTTCACCAACTTGCTTAAAATAGTTCATCTAATCTCCTACTGAAAATACGACAGATGACTAGTAAATAGTTTTTCTTAGAGGCTGATTTTTGCTTAATAAAAGGTGTGAGACTCAAATTATCGGGTTATTTGTTTCATAGATTCCCAAATCTTCATTCACGAAGCCTAGCCATGATGATGCTGTTTCATAGATAATTGCACTTTTATAACTGCAAAACTCATGCCTTGCTCAGATGTCGAAAGGCTTATTTGGGGGCTGATGAAGACGAGCTCATTTTCTAATTATTCCACTAGAAGGACAATCCCTTTCTAACATCATCTGGGAAAACTGTTGCTTTACAAACCTTAACGGTAGTACTGAAGACTTACCTACAGAGACAGATAAGCACAGCAACCTCAGCTACTCTTCCTCTGGGAGGCAGGTCTGTAACTGAGCTATCACTCAGTGAATAGAGACAACTTTCCAAGCTTGCGCCTGAAATCTGAACCCTGCCTGGGCTTTTGAAGGCGTGCCTAACCCTCTCCAAACTGAAGAACAGCAACAAGTCTCAGTCCCTCTCTTTACTGACGAGTGTGATGGCAAGGACCTGGACCTCCCTAAGCTTGGCGGCTTGGTGCTCTTCCATACCTCAATGATCTTCCCAACCACGCAAGGAGGAAGCAGAAATCATTCCTTCAGCTGCAAACCTGAGCTCAGCTTTACTTCAAGCTGACTACTGTGGTAAAGAAACTGGAACTCACTGCCATTAAAAACACTCTGTTAGGACCACTGTCTATACTTGCACTTTCTTTATTATACAGAATTAAGGAAATCTATGATCAGCTTTTTGCTTGCTTGCAATAATAGATTATTTAATTCCCATTAGGATTCCTCTCTTCCCACCTAATCGTTGGCAGTACAGATACCCTAATTAAGAAACAAAATTAAACTCAAAGCATTAACCCAAGCTGCTCCTCTTCTCAAAGTGTTTCCTACACAATCCTAAATCTCTTTATTACTATTTCTAAGGGAAATTTTAATGAATATTCTTTTTTGAATTTTGAGTAATCACACCTTTACACGCCAGACATAAAGAAGGCGATACAAGCTGCCTGGCACTTTTGAAAGATGACTTTTGTCCATACACATTTTCGGCTAAAAATAAAACAAACAAACAAACAAACAAACAAAACCCCAACACCCGGAGGAAGGTTTTCCCCCACTCCGGAGCGTGCGGCAAGCCGAGCTGCCCTTTCCAAAGAGCTTGGGCAGCTCACTCGCGTCCCGCGCCCGGGATCCGGCCCGCCGCCTGCACCTGACCTCGCCTCGGGGAGGGAAGCAAGGAGGGAGGGAAAGAGTGAGGTAAGGAGGGAAGGAGGAAAGGAGGTAAGGAGGCAGCGCCCGCCCGTGCGCACCGTGGGGCGCCGCTAATGCGGCACCTCCGGCGGCCGAAGCTGGGCAGGGGCGGCACGGCCGGCAGCGGGTGCTCGGCTCAGCGCAGCCCCGACGGACCGCCGGCGCCCCGTCCTGCCGGGCGATGCCCCGCGTCCCGCCGGGGCACGTACCAGCCTGGCCAGGATCCGGTGGCTTTTCTCGTCCGTGCAGCGCTCAGAGAAGACGCTCCTGTGGAAAAGGAACAGCGCAGCGCTCACCACCACCCAGCAGGCAGCCCAGAGGAGGAGCAGCAGCAGGGCGCATCGCCGCCAGATTTTGAACCGCAGCCTCTTTAAGCCCGGGATGCCCCTCATCGTCGCGCCGGGACTGGGCTGGGGTGGCCGCTTCAGCTGCTGCGGCGCCGAGCGAGCGGCGGCGGCGGGGGCCGGGGGCTCCGAGCTGCACCCCCCGCACGCCCGTCCCGCTCCCCGCCCGCGCCCATCGCCCGGCACCCCCCGTACCGCCGCCGGGATGCGCGTCCCCGCGGCCCCGGCCCCGCTCCCGCCCCCTCCCCGGACCGAGACTGCCCTGACGGAGCCCGAAGCGCCCCTTTTGAATTTAAGCCACGTAGTTCCGCCGGCTTTTGTCTGCGCTCCTCTGTGCCAAGCGGCCCCTACAGCCACTTGGCGGCTGCTGCCCGCGCCCCCCGCCTCTCCTCTCCGAGTTTCTCACCCGAGAATAAAAGGGGTTTGACGAGTGATGGATGCTGGTGTGGGAACTCGTTCACATCCAGGCGGCTGCCCGACGCTTTTAAAGAGGTAGCCTGGAGACGGACGGGTCCCTCTTGTGAAAGCTTCTCCTCCCGACAAATGGGTAAAGAAAAAGAAAAAGTTGTTTATTCTAGAGTAACTTCTCCAGTTTTACCCTCCCGGAGCTAATGGAGGAAGAGAGAAAAGGGTCTCAGGTGCCCATTCAGCAGCCCCCCGCACCTCCACGATTCCCCAAAAGCTCCCACAGCCTCTCCTGCCCACCCTGTGTCCCGGCCGCGGGTGCTGGCCCCTGCCCAGCACCTCCGTGTCCCGGCCGCCTCGGCGGCCGGCGGGGAATGCCAGCGGAACTGCCCCGCTGAATGCTTCGCCGAAAGAGGGCAGGGTGTACTTGGTCCAAGGGTGCTGGTAGCGATAGATTGTCTTCCTACCATCCGGTAGAGAGAGTACCTGCGACTGTGTCTCTGTTTAAGAAGGCGTCAGCACCATGCGACAACCCCTCATATATTTGACTTCGTTAAAGTCTCTAAGGGATAAAGACCCAGATGTTTATTCCTGTGCAGCAGGCAGGATCTTGACACACTTTCCTCACTCCAGATGCAGATGTTCACTGTCTCTGTTTAGACCACAACATTATTTTTTTTTCACCCTTGACTGCCACTTGACAGCATCTCACCATCACTGTTTTCAGGGTGAAAATTAATATACTAAAGTACAGCCCAAAGTAATAAGGGTATCTGCTTCAAGTTTACTGTCAGATACGATGAAAAAGGAACGGGTTCATTTTTCTTTCCCTTTATGGATGGTTACCTCAGGCTACTTGCAATCCCATAGCTGGAAGATGAATTGCAGTTAATGAAAACACTCTGAGGATAAATTATTTACCCCAAATTAGTGAGAATAGCAGAATATGGCCCATGAATGGAGTAATGCAGAATAATTCAATAGACTTATTTTAATCAGTAAGTTGCTCCGGTGCACATTTTGTTAGTAAACTAATGTTAAAAAGTCAAAGTTCACTGTTGGAGAGTTAGGTTTAGGGGTATATATTGTGTGCCATCATGTCCAGCTCAATGAGAACATCTCCCTGACAAGTCATTAAAAAGACAAGAGTCTCTATTGACATGGTCTAATTTTACCCCTCAGAACAACGAAGGGAAAACTACAGGTGCATCAAACTTGTTGTTCTTCACACCTTTTACATGGTCAGTGCAGTTCTCCTCTACCATGCAGAGGAGGGCTTGAAATACAGCTTCTAAGTAGATGGCAGGCTGTGGCAGAAAGGAAAATGGAAAGATAAAAGTATTTCTGAAAATACTATAGCTTTCTAGAGACTGGCAGTGGGAAGGGAGAATGCAAGGAGAGTAAAACTACTTTGATCTCCAAAGAGAATCAGAAGCAGAGTCATTATCACAAGCCACATCTTCTATCCTTAGTGTGTTTTGCTCCATCTCTCCATCATCTCATTTCTTCACCTGCAGAGGCTGCTTTTGGCCATCCTTTTCAAATTTTCTTTTTTCACCTCCTTGATCCTTTTACTGAGAGGCTTCCTTTTGAGGCACTGGCAATACAGTCTGTTTCTTGAAAATGTGGAAAGCAGCAAAGACCAACTAGGCAGCTAGAAACTGAAAACTTTTAATCCTATTTCTCAGTCTGACACAAAATGCTCTTAGGAGTTGTCACTGACTAGTTTGGGGTATTCATTTGGAAATTCCTAGGACAATAAGTGGGGAAGGGCAAGAGGGAGAGTTGCTTAGCCATTCCTCTGCAGGGATACCAGCTAGGCTTGAATTCAGCCAACCTTCATCAGTGACTGCTGCCACCTAGGAGGGAAAACTGCAGATCTGTCATACTAATACCTGGAACAATCCTGAGATGTGTCCCAGCCATGTGCTGCCACTGCTCCCTTGGCAGTTGGATCAGGGATCAGCAGTCAGCATCAGTAGGTTTTTGATTGCATTTTTCATTTCCTCCCAGGATACCAGCTAAAATTCACTCCATTTGGCGGTCTGTAAGGAGCCCACATCCTCCTCTTTGGTTTGGGAACAGCTGCTACACACAGCAAGAATAATTCTACCTGTAACATACAGTTGTCTGCTGCTTTGAAATTATGGAATGTGAAGAAATAGACTAAGAAAATAATAATGGGTTTTAATGTAGTCTTAATAATGTTTTTAATAGTTTTTTTAAAAAATAAAAGTACAAGATGAAGGAAATTTAATGAAACAAATGCAAGTTGCATGATACTCATACTAGATAGTATACTAGTTTTATTGTATGGTAAATCCCACAGGAGGCATTTGCAGTCAATAAAGCCCTGTCTTCACAAAAGATTTTGATATAGCATTCAGGCTGAACAACTGTATCTAGTTGTTCAGCCTCTGAACTTTCAAATATCTCACCCACTTCAGTCAGTGTGAAAAGTTGGACAAGTCTGGTAAACATGTATATGTGTGTGCATACACACCTTCTTGTAGCACGCACACAGAGACCTTTAGAACAGATCAAGAATTGACCCAGAAAGCTTGGATTTAATAACAGGTAAAAGCCTAGGTGCTTTAGTATCAGGTCATTTACCCTTTAATAACAATTTATTGCTAGCTGCAAAATTCAAGTCTAGTTTTAGGTTTTCCTAAACTTCAAGGTTCTTAGACTAACAGAGTTAATTGTAGTCCAACTTCTGTAAAATATGTATGAGTGTCTCTCTGTGCCATAGACATTTTCCTTTGAAAAAAGGCTTCTGCATCAGAGAAACTTTCCTTCCTGTATGTATTAAAATGTGACTGTTTCACGTTGCAACCCTGTGTTCCTAAAGGAAGCTATATTCCTATTCTTATTTTAACTGAGAATTAAACTTGATGAAAATAAATTAGTAGAATTTGAATTAAGGCAAGCAACGCTAAGGACAGTAAAAATAATCAGGACTAACTGTATTAGTTCCTACCCAATCAATCTTTGAATTACTGGTTAGAGCACAATGTCAACATCAGGTTGGTCTCCTCTTCATCGCTGTGTTGGGCACATCACAAAATTGTGCATCAATAGTGGCAGTTCAGAGAAGGAATAACCACAGGGTTCAGTGGCCAGGAGTGAGATGCCTTGACCCACATCCACTGGTGAAGAGCCTGGCATGGTGTCTACCTGTGCTGTCTGACCGAGTGGGCTGAGCAGCTCCTCAGACAAGGGCCATGAGGAGTCCTCAGTCCAAGGAGCTGCTGAGCCCACGCGTTTCTCATCACCTGCAGACACAAACTGCATTGCAGGCTCAAGTTATATTAGGCTGCTGTTAGACCTTATTTTCCTAATTACCTAATTCTTCATGAGAGTTTAAAAGAAACAAAGTAAATCAGTCATTAAGAACTACCTTGGCACTCGAGGTAATGAAATGTAAAACTGGTTCATTAGGAATTATTGTTCTATTTGATTGATTTTATCACCCACTGTCATTAGCACGAGGTTGTCTATGGAAATCGGGTATGTGTCTGCCAATCTTTCACAGAGCACATACGAACATACTGTTTTCCTACTAGGAGCTCAAAAAACTTTCGAGTGCTGTTCAGATCTACATATTTTAAAACACAAATATTTCTTTCTGATTTTCTTTGGCCAAGTTGAGCAACTGAAAAACATCACAAGGTCAGACATAGGTTTGAACATGAGTCTATGTCCTTTAGGCAGTGAAATTCCCCCGCAGAGCACTGTGTCTACCAGAGGAATCCAAATGTATTTTTTCATTTATGCCATTAATCAAAAAGAGTATGTTGCAAACTACTCACAGAAGTTTTATGGTATCAGAGAGCAGTGAGTTTATTGGGTCACACTGTGAACCAGAAGCAGAAAAATGGCACAATATAAAATGCAGAGTATACCTTTGTGGACAAGGGAAAAGCCTGGGGTAATTCACCGATTTAAACAAGGGAAAGTCTTTGGACAGAAAAGGCTTTCCCGTGCATATATAGAATAAAGAATTTGTAATACGCTTTGTCTTGTTTGCTTTTTACTTTCATCAGGTATTTCTTAGGCATAGTTGCCTAGGAAAGCCAAAGGTATTTATTTTCTCCTTCCCTTTTACAGCTTTCTAGATTCCAAATGGCAGGTTTTAATTGTCCTACTCTTCTCATATATCCCCTTCCAATTAATCTCTTTATTAACCTCATGCCAATTTTCCCCTCTCATTTGGAAACAGTATTGCCTGAAGAAGCCAGTAAGATACCCCGGCAATCACTGTGGCAGATTGTGGTTCACTTGTAATTCTTCGAATAAGGTGGAACAACAAAGATGTAAAATATCTTCTGGAATTTTTGTACAAATATCACAAATGATGCCTGACACAGTATTGCCTATTGGTTCTCTGCTACATTCTTTGCCTATTTGTGCAACCAGTCGCCAAAAAGAAAATCAGCTGCAAGATGAAGTTGGAATCAGTGACTTGAGAACAATTTTTCTAGTCTAAAAGGGTGCTCTCCAAAGGAATTTGCTGCTGTGTGGCATGTTGTATGTCTGTCCATGGTGAAAGGGAGAACAAAGAAGGGAAAATGCTGACATTCTTTTCCAGTCTTTCTATATGCAGTTTCTAGTCTTTGCACCAAGTTCAAGCCAAGTGATCTCATTATGCCAATACTGAATCTGGCTCTTTGTAGCCTCCCTTTATGA